TTTAGCAGCAGCCAGAGGCTGCCTAGACGTTTCACAACTCTAGGAAACAGAGCTACAATTAAGGTAGTGAGAATAAATTAAGAGGGGATGAACAAAACATTAATTCAGTTCATCCACTCAACCAAGTGTTCTAGGCACTTGGGCTTCATTAGCAAATAAAATAATTCTCTTTATTTCATTCTTTAATCTAACCATGTCCATGTCCATCCCCCTTTAAAAGGGAAAGCATGATGTAGCAATATAAGCACGTTTTGATTTTTTTCCAAGAGTTATTCTCTGTAATTATGAAAGTTAGTAACAGAATAAGAGAAATGTATGGACCCCCAAATTGATATGTTTGTAAACGTTCGTTTTTGCCCTAACAGTTATTATGCCAGCCAGAAGAAAACATTTGAAATTAATCCCAGACATCCACTGATCAAAGACATGCTTCGACGAGTCAAGGTGAGTAATATTACAGCCATACTCCTCCGTCTTTTAATTTGGATACTTTCTACCTTTTAATATTAATCAATTGTGACTTCTTCCATTTCAGGAAGACGAAGATGACAAAACAGTTTCGGATCTTGCTGTGGTTTTGTTTGAAACAGCAACGCTGCGGTCAGGATATCTTTTACCAGACACTAAAGCATATGGAGATAGAATAGAGAGGATGCTGCGCCTCAGTTTAAACATTGACCCTGATGCAAAGGTTTGTGTGCTCAACCTTCCCACGTAGGCTTATTGCTGTTCTTCCTTCCTTTAGGAATAGGCTTCCCAGGATTAAGTGACATAGCTCTGAGAGGTTTGACTGATTTCTACTTTTTTTAAATAATATATTGAATTTTGAGTCCCCATTGACACACTGTGCTTGAAATTAATGAGAAATTCCCCTTTTACATCCTTTTTTTGTCTGTCTGTCTTTGTTAGCTTGACTATTAACTCTAATTAGAAGATTTACTTAGGTTCTGGATTAACAGGAGTGAAGTTCATTATGATCTTATACATTTAAATGAGCAGAGTGAAAACAGATCCATTAATGGGCTCATAAACGTTGCTCTTAGGTGGAAGAAGAACCAGAAGAAGAACCTGAGGAAACCACAGAGGACACCACAGACGACACGGAGCAAGACGAAGAAGAAGAAGAAGTGGACGTAGGAGCGGATGAAGAAGAACAAGAGGCAGCAGAGGTTAGCAAATCAAGAAGGGGACTCGCGCTTCTGGTTCTGGCAAAGTTAGGGCTGTGGGACTTACAGCAGTCAGACTTACAGACATCTGCCTGAAAAATAGGCATTTGATATCAAATTCAAAAGCTGGAGCAAATCACGTTTTTCTTTCAATAAAGTGTATGCTTTGCTCTTCCCACTTCCTTTATTCCAGCCATCCGTTCTTCAGATATTTTTAAACAGACCTCCTTAGCCCACAGTGCTTTTGTATTCTTTGCCACCTGCTTCTGCCTTGCTATATGGCAACATTAGCCTTTTTAACATTTTTGATTCTGTTTGGGGGCCGTTGATCTTGGTGGTGGGTTCTAAATTATTTTGCAGATCAGCAAGGTGTGAGGTTCTAGCCTACATCTGAAATAATGGAAATAGGCTGGGCCCATTTCAGTTGTTTTTTCCATACATGAACCTTCTCTGAGCTAAAGTTTTTTCTGCTAGCTTTTAATGTATTCTGATTTTTTTTGTCTTTCCAGAAATCCACAGCTGAAAAAGATGAATTGTAAATTATACTCGCACCATTTGGATCTTGTGTGGAGAGGAAATGTGAAATTTAAGTCATTTCTTTTGGGAGAGACTTGTTTTGGATGCTCCCCCCACCCCTTCTCCCCTGCACTGTAAAATGTTGGGTTTGTGGGTCACAGGAAGAAGTGGGTTTTTTTAGTTGAATTTTTTTTAACATTCCTCATGAATGTAAATTTGTACTATTTAACTGACTATTCTTGGTGTAAAATCTTGTCATGTGTATAAAAATAAAAAAGGTCCCAAATACTCAGTGTCTTGCCTGTCTTTTCATAATGTGTTGCGTGAAACTACCTATACTTGGCTGATTTTTTTTTTTTTTAAAGATTTTATTTATTTTATTTTTTCCCTCCAAAGCCCCAGTAGATAGTTGTATGTCATAGCTGCACATCCTTCTAGTTGCTGTATGTGGGACTCGGCCTCAGGATGGATGGAGAAGTGGTGCCTCGATGCGCACCCGGGATCCGAACCCGGGCCACCAGCATTGCAGCGCGCGCACTTAACCACCAAGCCACAGGGCCGGCCCCTGATATTTTTTTTAATCATGTGTCTTGGGTTTTTTTCCTCATAAAAGTAATTCATACTTATGAAGAAAAGTTTCTTAAAATCAAGTATTTTTAAAAATCACCCAGAGATAGGAGAATCTTCCTTACAGAAGAATCCCAGACAATAAATGTAGATGCTCCCCCTTCCAGGTGGAGCTTAATTCTCCTTTTCTTTTTGAGTGAAGGCTGGCATTGTCTTCTAAAGAATAGAGTATAGAAAGGAGAAACAGTAACTTTACAGCAGAGAAACCTGGCAGATGCTACCGTAACCAAGTGATCAAGATTAATATTACCAGTGATGTCTGTGTGTGTCCCCGGCCACGATATGATTCTTGCCAAAAACAACCTAATGAGAAAAAACATTAGACAAACCTAGAATACGTGAACCATACTCTTAAAAGTTTCGAGGTCAAGACCATAGAAAGAAATAGAGATTGAAAGGGACTAAGGAGACATGGCAACTAAATGCAGTGGAGTGCCCTAGATTAAAGCTGGTGAAATCCAAATGAAGTCTGGAGGATAACTGGTTCCTTAGCTTTGACATATGTACCATGTATGACAGCATTCATGGAAACGGGGGGAGAGGTATACGGGAATGCAGTACTGTCCAGTTTTTCTGTAAATCAAAACATTCCAAAATAAAAAAGGCTATCTTTAAAAAAATCACCCATGACCCTACCACGGAGATAACTATAGAGATTGAGGGAAGATCCTCATTGAGCTATCATTTAATTTCTTTTGAAATGTATTCTTATGGGAGAAAGTTTCTCTAATTTCACTAGTCAGATAGCCATCCGAAATGAGAGTCTTTTTCTATTTTTTAGCTGGCTAGGGGGAGAAAATCTTACTCAGCTGTATGTTTAGAGTCGTGTGTGTGAGAAAATTCTGTGGAACCTAATTTTATGTACTGTAAGTTTTGCTAGGGACTAAACAATTTTCTTGATAATCTAGGACCCCTTTCTGGGCTTCTCATATTTGTGTTCATCGTATGCTTCCCACCCTTCCCCCCAAGCTATTTTTCCAGGGTTAGCTTGCAATAATCATTTTGAAATTACCAGCTACTCTACTTGAATGTATATCTTTTTAAAAATCTGCCCTGCTTTTCTCTTACAAGAAATAAAATAGCTCAGTCATAGAGAAACATGCTGTAATTAAGGTATAGCTTCCTTTCATAATACAATGATGTTATATTAGCTATTAGCTGTAATTTGTTTCCAATTTTTTGGCCACTATAAAATTACCTTTTTTGTGTGTGTGAGGAGGATTAGCCCTGAGCTAACATCTGTTGCCAATCCTCTTTTTGCTGAGGAAGAGTGGCCCTGGGCTAACACCCGTGCCCATCTTCCTCTACTTTATATGGGACATCGTCACAGCCTGACTTGACAAGCGGTGCGTCGGTCTGCCGCTCCACGCCCGGTCTGCACCCAGGGTCTGAACCTGCGAACCCCGGGCTGCCAAAGTGGAGCACACGCGCTTAACCGCTACGCCACCAGGCCGGTCCCATATAAATTACCATTTTTAATGAAGATCGTTATGATATAGAAGTTAAAGTGATCAGATTGCATTAAATTAGTGACATCTGAAACTTTTGCTCTTCTAAATCCTCTAATTACAAATTTCCACTATTTCCAGCAGGAAGCATAAAAAGTATCATACTCCCTTTGTTTTTGGTAAAAACAAGCAGATATGTCTTAAATGCCTTGTACTATAACTGTTTAATTGACCTACTGTAATTTAAGTACCAAACAGGTTGCAACTGGTCTATTTTGGACTCCCCCCCCCCACAGCTTAATAAGGAATAATCTAATACTACTTTAATTTTTGGTTTGTTTATGTCACAGATTTGGTTCTCCAGGAAGCACTGGGATGGAGTTTAGTATTCAAGATGTTTATGAAGGAGTGCCCTTGGATCAACCCCTGTGGAAGGAAAGGAAATGGGATTGAGCAGAAGTTCAGCTGCAAGGCAGGTCCAAAGACAGCCTCAGTCACCCCCGTGGGGAGTTGAGCTCCAACAGGGCCCCTCAGAGCTGCCCTCCTCCCATCTGTGTCATGCTTAATGGCAGAAGGTGTGGCTTCGAGCAAGGTGCTGCTCGCTGAGGCAGTCCCTGCAGGAGCTGACAACTGAAGGCTGCTCGCCACAGCACTCAGCCTGGGGTGGCAAGCCTTTCCTTGGGGAATCTGGATGACATGTTTCCACGCCTGCCACAATGTGTATTTTTCACAATAGTGCTGAACAGAATGCCAACTGCTCTATCAATTACTTTCGTCCTGTATTTATAGACTCAGAAAAAGGTTGAAATGTTTGTTATTAGCTTCCTAGGGCTGACATAACAAAATACCACAAACTGGATGGCTTAAAACAACAGAAATTTATTCTCTCACAGTTTTGAAGGCCAGAAATCTGAAATCCAGGTGTCAGCAGGGCCGTGCTCTGAGACTCTGGGGAGAATCCTTCCTTGCCTCTTCCAAGCTTCCAGTGGTGGCTCTCAATCCTGTGTTCCCTGGCTTCTGGCTGCATCACTCCAATCTTTGCCTCTTGTCACACGGCATTCTCCCTGTGTATCCGTCTTTATGTAGCATCTTCCTCTTCTTATAAAGACACCAGTCATATTGGATTAGGGCCCACGCTAATGACCTCATCTTAACTTGGTTACATTTGCAAAGACCCTATTTCCAAATAAGGTCACATTCACAGGTACTAGGGGTTAGGACTTCAACATCTTTTGGGGGGGACACAATTCAACCCATTATAATACTCATTTATCAGTTATTTATAAATATGTTTTATAAGAAAAATTAAATGCCAACATGATTTCTCAAATTTGGGGTAAAGACGTTGTGACAGTCCAAGTCACAATTGTTATAATTTTGTTATGTACACAATTCCAAAAGAATTCAAACTTTAAATATTTCAATTTAATTCAGTTTAGTACAAATAGTACTTTCCTATATTTAGAGAAATATTAACTTCATACCATAAGCATTCATTGTCAATGTCACTTTTATTACAGTTTTTTATAATTTCCATTTGCCATTATAATCAAGCTTATTCAGAGAAATAAACCAGAATTATAAGGGCAGGAGTCAGTGCAAATACTCTATTTCACATGATTTTCAAGACTAAATATCTATCAAACCACATTTGGGAAGGTGACGATACAAGCTTTGGCAGTTTTCAAGAAACACTGGTCAAACCATAACTAATCCTCAGTGCATCAGTTAATATCTACTGAGCACCTTCCCTGCAGTTAGCAATGTATTAGGAGCTTAAGAACAAATACTTTGACTCAAAAAATTTTAAAAATACATATTTAAGACTTAAAATACTATTCACAGAGTTCTTGGCAGAGTTGTATCTTGAGGTTTCTTCTCCTGAGAAATTTGAGGTTTGTGTTGTCTCTCTTTCAGTCCCAAAAGCTCTGTTTTGAGTTCTCCACGCTTTGGTGGAATTTCAGGTATTGTCTATAAAAAAAAAAAATTAGGTATCAGTGCTTTCTTAGACTGTAGTTAAATGTGACCTGAAAGACTTCAAAGAAAGTAAAGAGTAAAAAAGAACAAAAAGTCCCCTGCCATTCAATGATAAATCTTTATTGTGAGATAAAGGTGATCTGAGTCCCTTTCTAGCCCTATATTTAAATGACTCTGTCTTCGGGCTATGTCTTAAGAACTACAGGAATCACAGAGGGAGAGTTTGCATCAATATCAATTGACAGATCACAAATTTGAATAAAGCTTTCCACGTTTGGAAATTCATTCCTGCACTATTTACTGACTCTCCACCATGTGCCTGGCACAGACAACAGGTATCAGGAATCAATTCATTTATTCAAAAACAGTAAGTGCCAATTATGTGCAAAGCATAAGGCAGTGAGCAAAAAAATACAAAACTGCCTTCAAGAAAGGTGGTCGGAAAAAGCCTGAGAAGGTGACTTTTTTTTGGTAACAGCTTTAGTGAGAGAGAATTCACACACTCTACCATTCACCCATTTAAAGCGTACAATTCGATGGCTTTTACTATATCCGCAAAGTTCCGCATCCATCACTACAATAAATTTTAGAACTTCTTCCTCACCCCAAAGAGAAAGCCCATACATACCCATTAGCAGTCACTCCCATTTCCACACCACCCTCCCCCTCACCAAGCCACTGCCCTAGGCAACCATTAATCTACTTTTTTCTATGGATTTGCCTGTTCTGGACATTTCATACAAATGGAATCATACAATATGTGGTCTTTTGTGACTAGTTTCTTTCACTTAGCATATTTTGAAGCTTCATCCATGTTGTCACATATATCAGTACTTCATTCCCTTTTAGGATGGAATAATATTCCATTATATGGATATACCACATTTTATTTATCCACTCATCAGTTTATTTATTTACCCACAATTTATTTATCCACTTTTTGGCTCTTATGAATAATACTTCTATGAACATTCGTGTCCAAGTTTTTGTGTGGATGTATGTTTTTATTTCTCTTTGATATAAACCTAGACGTGGAATAACTGAGTCATATAACTCTGTTTCACTGTTCGATGAACTGCCAGACTGTTTTACAAAGCAGCCGCACCATTTTACATTCTTAACAGCACTGCATGAGGGTTCCAATTTCCCCACATCCTCACCAACATCTGTCATTAGCTGTTTTTTTTTTTAATTATAGCCATCATAGTGGTTATGAAGTGGTATCTTATTGTGTTTTGATTTGCATTTCCCTGATGGCTAATGGTGCTGAGAATCTTTTCATGTGCTTATTGTCTGAAAAGGTGACTCTGAACAAAGACATGAAGGAAAATGAGACAGCCAGCCATGCAGATACTGAGGCATGTCTCGGGCAGATGGAACCAGAAACGCAGAGGACCTGAGGCAGGAATGTGCCTTGTGTTCAAGGAAAAGCGAGGTAGTCAACACAGCTGGTACACGGTGCTCCACGAGAGGTCAGGAGGGGAAAGGGGGTGCGGAGATGGGAAGTCACCGGAGAGTTTTGAGCAGAAAAGTGACATGACCCGACTCGAGTGTAATAAGGTGACAATGGTGGCTTTGTTGAGAATGGACTGCAGGAGAGCAAGGGTGGAGGGCAGAAGACAGGTCACGAAGGTAACACAATAACTGCGGTGAGAGAGAACTGACAGTGGCTTCAATTGGGCAGTAATACAGGAGGTGGTAAAAAGCGGTGAAATTCTGGATGTATTTTTCAAGTTAAGCCAATGGGATTTGCTGATACGCACAGTATGAGATAGGAGCTGAGGATGACGCCTAGGTTTTGGCCTGAACAACCAGAAGAATGGAGTCACCATTTATTGTGATAGGGAATACTTCAAGGAGAAGGGCAGGTCTGTTGGGGGAAGACCAGGAGCTCAATTTTGAACATGCTCACTGCACATGCAAGTGCAACTGTCAAGTGTGCAAGTAATAACCAAGTTTTAAGCTCAAGGGAGTGGTCCAGGCTGAAGTATATTGTTTTTGTATATAAATAATAACTACTGTTCTGAGCTTAGATGAGATCATGGAAGTGAAGGTAGACAGAAAAAAGGGGTCAAGGACTGAGCCCTGTGGCCCACCAAGGCTGGGAGGATAAGGAGATGAAGAGGAACCAGGAAAGACTGAGAAGCAGCAACCAGTGAGGAAGAGGAACCAAGAGAGAGTGACGTTCTAGAAGCTAAGCGAAGAAAGTGTTTCAAGGAGAGAGTATTCTATTGTGTCACACGCTACTGACAGGTCAAGAAAGAGGAAGACTGATAACTGACTCACAGGATTTAACAACATGGAGGTTATGGTGACTTTAAAAGGCATTTCAGTGAAGTATTCACATGCCTCCATCTCCAGGCCTTTGTGCATCCTGTTCTCTCCATCTGGAACGTCCCCTGCAAGTAATTCTTCCACATGGCCTCTCATATTGGCATTACCAAAATTCTTCTCATTAGCCAAGGCCCACCTCAGTGACACCTCAAGGAAGATGAAATGTGTCACTCCCTCCACTCCATTCCTGCCACACGTTGTTTACCCATCTCTGACCAGAGTTAACCCATGAGGTCCTATATCGTAATGATTAGAGGCATATGTATTTCTATCAGTTATCAGTGTATACTGCAAGGTCCCTGAGGAAAGGGACCACACCTTAATCTCCTCCTTATTTCTTACAACCCTATGAGAATGCCCCTCATTATAAGAGGCAGTCAGAAAGTGTGCTGAAGGAACAAATCAACAGACTTTCCTCAGGACTCCTATAAACTCATAAGATTAGAGAAATGAAATATTGACTCAAATTACACAAAACCGCAAGATTATTCTGGCATAGTTTCAATCATATCAGAAAACTTCAATAGCTTTTCAGCGTCTAAGTTCAAACACCTTGACATGGCTCATGCTACCCTTCTATCTCCTAATGATTAATTAACCCTAAAGAAATAAAATAGTTTAGGAAAGACTGTGGGGTTTGTGGTCAGGATAACAGGAGAGGTAAGGAGGTAAGTGATGTGCTACATAGCACCATTCTCATTTTGAAGTGAAAATGACTTTCTAAGAAATCAGTAACGGGAACTGGAATAAAAGCCAGAGTAACCTGTATGACAATTCCCTCTCTTAAAACCAGTCCTAGGATTTCGACATTTCAATCCCTTACTACAAGAAAAGAAGGTAGCTTGTTTCACGTTCATTAAACTGTGCAAACTAATTAACTTAGAATGGCCATTTTTTTCCCCAGGTCACAACAGGAAATTATGTGAAATCACAAAGCCCTATAAAATATAATCATAACATGTTTCAATTTTCTACAAAGTATTCACAACTACCCACTTACACACATACAAATTTGGAGTAACTTGAATTTCCAATACAGTATAAAGCTAAAATGACAATTTAACTTTTATTAAAAAAAAGATAGCACTTTTATTTACATACTAAATAAATAACCAATTTTTAAAAGACCAGTAAGTCTTTTGGCATCAAAAGTTATCAATGTTGTCAGAGGTTCTACACAGCCTGTTATGTGTATATGGGCGTGTTTGGAGACAACTAAAATGAATGCTTTAAAATGAGTCCAGAGACTGTCTCTTTTGACATACTATGCATTCAATAATAATAAGATTATAAATTAAAATAGAACAAGTAAATTAAAAATAAACTTTACAAACAATTATTGACTGGCTAATAAACTTAAGACCTTGGTCACTTCTTGCCAGGAGCCCTAGTGGCAGGGTTTCTCATCCTCTGTCCATGCTGCTTGAGGACTTGAGACAAGACGCAAAAGGGGAGCTCAAGCAAGAGGCACACTCTTTATTCCACGACAGAGCATCTGCCTTGAGTCCTCGCCTTCTTTCCCATTCTGAGGAGCTGAGCTCGACAACTAGAAAAAAGCGCCCTTAATGCTCCTCCCTTAGGACAGCACTGAGCACAAGCCCTGGGCAGCCGTCTCCTCTGCTCTGGACTCCACTCAGACCTTCCAGCTGTCCAGACTGAGAGACTCCTGGGAAGACCGGTGGTTGTTCACAATTACCAGCAGTGGCAGTAATTAGTGGAACACCACCAGCAGACGTAGGTGAAGAACACCAATTCCTTAAATGTGAGTAAGGTGTACAGCATCCTACACACAGCCAGCCAGGCCTGGCCTTCAAGTCCCTACAGAGGTGGGACCACCTATGTCATCACCCCATCAGGATGAGGTGGCCTGAGCCACTTCAGTATGCCCCTGCTAGAGAGTCTGGCTTCGTGCTGCCTCCTCTCAAGGTCCCGGTAGCTGCTGGTAACAACCCTTACACAATCCCACTTACAATGAGATGGGTGAATCAAAGGTCACCTTCCCACGGTCAAATCACAGGCATTCCTTCCTTCGTAAGGCCTGCCTGATATCTACTCCTGTGCCAGCTGCAGACTCAACTGTGTTTCTGTGGAAGGTTCTTACCCCTTTCTGTCTCCACTAGTATCCTTGATACTTCCCTAAAACTCAAAAAAGCAGTCTGAAGTGGTAAGAAACAGCTACTGCAACCCTGCTGCAGCAGATACCACCCAAATATCAACAGGGGATTGATTTATATATGGGACATCTATATTATGAAAGACTATGCACTGGTCATTTCTGACCAGGTCATTTCTGACCTTTTTTCTTTCGAAAAAAGACGATCAATATAAACAAACATCTTTTCATACAGATGTCACCAAAACAAGCAAGTAGCAGAGAAATGTGTATATGAACTCCTATTACATGGGGGAAAACACCCCAAAAATGTGTGTACGTGTGTGTATTTAACAACAGTAAAAATCTGGAAGGATATACACCAACCATCAATGGTAGTTATGTTTGAGGAGTAGACTGGAGAAAGGGGGTTGTAAGTGGGGGGATTTTTCACTTTTTACTCTACATACGTGAATTCAATTTGAATGTTTTACAAGGGTGTTGCATTATTTTATTAACGGAATCAAAAAAGAGAACACACTGAACAGAAAGCTTGGGCTTCAAATCCTCGCTAAGCTACGTGACCTTCGGAAATCACCTTCACTCTTCAAAACTCACTTTCCTCATCAGAAAACAAGAACACCTCCAAAACTGTAGTGACAATTAACTGAAATTAGAAACACAAATGGTTAGTTCTCTGTAAGTGTTGCCTGTGCAGAGACCAGGCAGAAATGACTGTTTCTTACACTGTGCTCCAAAGCACTCTATTCACCTCTAGAGCATAACACTTAGCACACTCTTGTAATTATTTGCACCATACTTCCTCTCCTCCACCTCCCCAAGAGTCTGACTCCTCAAAAGCACCTTTAATTCCTAGTTCCTAATTCCATGAATGCTTATTAAGATCAGTTTAAATGTCTCCCTCCTTTAAATGCCTACATTCACTCATTCTTCATTCAACACATAATTTATTGAGCATCTACTACAGTCTAAGCTCTTTTCTAGTGGTTGAGATACAAGAGTGAACCGGACAGGCACAGTTCCTTCGTGGAGATTACATTCTAGTGGAGGAAGCCTACAAGAACTAAACAAAGGAATAAAATAATTGCAAATTGTGAGAAGTGCTCTATGAAAACAAGACTGAGGCAGAATAGCAGAGGAGGAATCCTTTAGGAGCTATCTAAAGGACTCTATTGCTGGACGAGATATTTGAGCAGAGACCTGAAGTTGTGAAGAAGGAAATCAAGCCAAGATCTGGGAGAAGAGCATTCCAAGAAGGGAAGAAGCATGGCCTTGAGGTTAGGCTTGATGAGTTTGGGAAACAGCAAGGAAGCCCGTGTGGCTGCAAGAGAGGGAACGAGGTGGGGCATGGCAGAAGATAGGGCCAGGGGCAGGCAGGCGCCAGACCGTGGAAGACCTTAAGACTGTGTGAGAGCAGGCCATGCACTGCCCTAAACGCAACGGGACTCCATGATCACTTCTGGGCCAGCGCAGACACGCTAACCGCGTCGGCAGCTGACTTCTGCGGCCGTGCGGGGACCGAGCGTCCCGGCGGCCAAGGCCCCGCGCACTCACCAGGTCGGGCCGGTAGTACCTGTGCACCGCCTCGGCGCCGGCGCACATGGCCAGCAGGCTGGCGGCGAACATTTTCAGGTAGGCGGCCCAGGGCACGCCCGCGGGCATGGTCGGGGCTGGACGGGCAGGGAAGCGGGCGGCGTGAGAAGGCTCCGCGCCGGGAAACGGGCCGCACGGCAGCGGCGGGGCGGAGTCGGCACGACCGGGCCTCCCACGCCCGCGCCCCGTGTCCTCACTCAGGAAACGAGGGCGCGGAGGACGGACGCCCCTTCCCGGCCTAAGGTCAGCCTCAGGCCTAAGGCCAGCCTCCACTGGTCTCTCTGTGCGGGGGGGCGGGCCTTCAGAATTTAAAGGCAGCTCTTGCGGAGCAAGCGGGAGGCCGACACCGGGTGGTTTCCCCGCGCCCCTTCAGTTCAAACTCTAGGAGGAGGAACCGCACTCCCCACTGGCCCTACAGGCGCGCCCCTGGAGAAGCTGTACCGCGGGGAGCACGGGCGCTCGGCAGCGCGCTCGGCAGCCGGAAGGGACCGCCAGCGGGAGGGACCGAAAGAGCAGGGGCTGGGGGCCGCGCCGGACGCGAAAGCCAGGGCACTGCCGGCGCCGGGGCGGGCACGTGACCCGGGCGGAAGTGGGACTTTGGGCTGAGCCAGTGTCTATTTTTCTAACGAAGTCTCAGTCTCTTCCCCTCCCCGGGCTGTTGTCGCGCTCATCTCTCTCCGTGCGGTAGGAGTTCCCTGGCAGAGGCCGAGTCTTGGGCTCGGAGCTGGCTGGACCCGATGGGCGCATTCGTCCTGTGGCACGCACAAGGAGACGGCTCGCGTTTACCACCGTTAGGAGCGGGGGCAGATGGGACGCCGAGCCGTGCGTGCCGAGGTGAGGTCCCCCCCGGGTGAGGGACGTTAACAGCACTCTCTGTGCTCGTGCCGGGCGTCCTCTGATACCTGAGGCAGAGCCACACCCGGGCGGCTCTGCCCTCGTGCTGCGGAGCTACTGGAAAAGAGGGAACCTGAAATCGACGTCATTGAATCCATGCATTTTTAGACTGTGCGTTGATTATGGAAGAGGAAACTTGAAATCGACGTCATTTAATCTATGCATTTTTAGATTGTGCGTCTTGTGCCTCTCCTCTTAGGAGGACACTGGTCGTTGAATTTAGGGCCCACCCTAATCCAGTTTGACTTCATCTTGCCTTGATTACATCTACTAAGACCTTCCAAACAAGGCCGCATTCACAGCTGTGAGGTGGACATGACTTTGGAGGAGACAGTATTTAACTCAGTACAAGCCCTTATGACCTACTCAAAACTTTTAAAAATATATAAATAAAAATTTAAACACTCACTGGAAAAAAAATGTTCAAGGGCTTCTAAATTTTAAGAATAAGAAAAATCAACTCTTTTGAAGTCCAGAAAATCTTGTATGCACCTCTAAAATGAATGTTCTTTAAAGCTCCCTGACACAGATTTCTTCCTAAATCATTTGTTTGAAACATGTAGCTATTCCCCCATGCTGACAACACAAGGCTCCCTTTTACAAAATATAGGTTAAAGTATTCAAGACCTGTAATAAAAGCAATTAACTGAGTAGATACAGGAGAATGCTTGAACTACAGGTCTCCTCATTTGCTCCCTGTCACTTGGAAGAAAAGCCCTATTACAATGGCTTTTCAAACTTTTTTGTTCATGATTCACAGTAAGAAATACTTTTAACATCAGGATCCTATCTGTACACGTGTACGTGTGTATGTGTGTGTGTAACAAAAGTCTTACAAAACAATAGTTATTACATATGAACACTGACACTTCCTCTTCTGTTCTGTTTCTTTTTTTATGCTTAATAAATTTCAGGACCCACTTGTGGATGAAAATATGCAGTTGGAAAAATCCCGCCCAGTCAAGAACCTTGTTGACACTAAGATGTAACTGACTAACAGCATATTAGTTCAGAAGGAAGCAAGCTTACCTAGGTTCTTGAAAGGGAGAGGAGGTACTGGGAGGAAGAGGAAAAAAAGGTGAAGTGGCTTGGCCCTTCTTCTCTTGTCCTATCATACAAGGTCTCTTTGAGGTACAGACATACTTGGCAAAGATAAGAGAAGGACATTTCTCCTAGGCTTCCCCAAGCTCTGGTGGGCAAGGCTCACAAGCAGAACAAGTTTGTCTTCCAGACTCAGATTCAGGGTGGGGACAGAGACCCTGATGGGACAGGAGCCACCTGGCTGCGACTGCTTCACCATTTCCAGGTTCAATCTCCTGCTCCAACTCTTCCAGTGAACTCATCCTTTTACAAGGCAAAACTGAACAGAGGCTCCTGGTCTGCAGAGATTATGAATGGAGCGGGCTGACCCAGAACGCACAGCACTCCATGGTTAGGGAGATCCTTGCTGCCCAAGGGTATCTCCTCCTGAGTAAACACTTCCTGAGAAAAGTTTGCAGCTCTTTACACACACTTTCAGTCACCAGAATCCTCTCAGAAATAACTGAGGGGCGCCGGCTCCATGGCTTAGCAATTAAGTGAGCGCGCTCCGCTACTGGTGGCCCGGGTTCGGATCCCAGGCGCGCACTGAGGCACCGCTTCTCCGGCCATGCTGAGGCCGCGTCCCACATACAGCAACTAGAAGGATGTGCAACCATGACATACAACTATCTACTGGGGCTTTGGGGACAAAAAGGAGGAGGATTGGCAATAGATGTTAGCTCAGAGCCGGTCTTCCTCAGCAAAAAAGAGGAGGATTGGCATGGATGTTAGCTCAGGGCTGATCTTCCTCACAAAAAAAAAGAAAAAAATAACTGAGGGAAGCTACCTGCTGTAAAACTTTTCTAGACTGTGGTCCTGAGTGATTAGAAAAACCAGAGAGAGAGAGAGAGAAAGAGGATGGGCTATTGTTTATTCATTCACTTCAGCAAATATTCACTGAATACCAACCATGAGTCAGGTTCTGAGGAGTATCTACTAACGGAGAGAGTATTTGTAAAAGTTCTGAAAAGTTTAAAAATATTAAGTTTCATTTAATCAATTGATAAGAATGCAAATAAATCATTCTGTATTTACTCATGAAAGCCCTTTCCTGGATCCCAGAATGAAGACACTTGAAGCACAGAGCCACAGCCCTCTCCCAGTCCACGTTACATTACTGAGAAATAAACCTTTGTTGCTGTAAACCACTGAGATTTGGGCAGTCATCTGTTACCACGGGTTAACTAGAGAAAGCTAAGTGATACAGCAGCCATGTTTTTCATCACGCAAACTAGAGCAACAGAAAAGCCTATCTCCATTAAGAGTTATTTAATGAACACACTGTACAAAAACCAGTGACAACTTGAGAACTAATGAAACAAAAACTAGCTGTAAGAGCCACTGAGAAACAAAACGGGCTGGTCTGGAAAGGTACAAGGAGGACTTGATGCCTGAAGGGCATCTATTTTAATCGACTTCAAATCTTAATATTTTTATGCATCCAAAGTAAAGCAGACAATGCTTTACCCTTTACAAAGCAGTTTTACAATCACCCTCGTTTTACAGATTAGGAAACTGAGGCCCCGACTCCCACTTTTGATTCCAAAGATTCCCCGATATCACACTTGATAATTAATACCTGATTATTAACGCAAAACACTGCTTTTAATCGGGATAAAATTTGGGGTGGAAAGGCCTGGATAATGCTGATAAGCACAGCCGCCCTATCTACACAGCACCCCCACACGACACCACCCTTGCACACCCTCGCACCAGCCCACCACCCAAGAGTCAGCGCTGTCTGAAAGTTACGTCAGCAGAGCGCGCCCTCTACCACCCTTTATGGTCCTCCACCTTTCCCGATAGGCCAAGCGGCGAGCAGGAAAGCCAACAAGAGGCGAGCGAACGTGATTGGCTGCTCCGTGTCACGTGGCGACCATGAGGCGTGGGATTTGGCTCCAAGCAGGCGGAAGCGCCGCGCCGAGGTGGGGGGAGGGGGGGTGAGGGATGCAGGGGAGAGGGAACTAGGAACTTGGGGGAGGAGCTTGAGCGCCAGCCGCTGTCCCAGTTCTGCCGGCAATCGTGTCCAAGTCTCTGGTTACTGTGGTACCGCCGTTCGCACGCCGCGGTACTACAGAGACCAGTCGCTCGCTTGCCTGGCAGGAGCAGCCGCCCGCGCGAGCGGCAGCAGGGAATGGAAGCGGAGAACGCGGGCAGGTAAGGCCGGGGCGGAGCGCCGCCCCTCCCCCCGCGCCCCTCGCGGCGGGGCCGGCCGGCGGGCGCGCGCACGCACGCAGGGGTCTTTAAATGCCGCGGCCCGAGTACAAAGGCCGGGGTCGCGCGTGCGCACTGCCCGCCTGCTCGAACCTCTACCCGCCCAGGCTGCTCCGGCGCCGCGCGTAGTGCGCCTGCACCCGTCTTCAGGCTTTCCCGGCACCTAGCCGCCTTGAAAATGCGTTAATAAGCAACCAGCAGTCTCCGGCTGATGTTTCCTTCTGGTTGCTATTCTTGGCTATATTTCCCTTCACCTCCCCCCCACCTTATCATGCAAAGAGCTGTAAAGATGGAGTATCACACGTGTCACTCCAGGAGCCTGCCTTTTAGAGTTGGTAGATTTACTGTGGCTTCCTTCCGCGAAGGTTTACTGAAAGCAACATCCAGGGCCACGAGGTTGATAATATTGCCATATTAGCGCTCTTGAAGTCTGGAGCTATGAATAACACTCCCAAGAAGTCATGTAAGATGTCTTCTGGTCTTGGGGACGATCTTAGGAATTTACTATGTCCTTTAGGGAGTGTTGAGTACGTGGAGGGGACGTTCTGCAAAAGCAGAGATCTCGAGATTTGAACTCCAGACAGAAAGCCAAATGAAAAAATAAATATGTAGATATGGTGATAGGGTCTTTAAAAAGAAGAAAAGATAGTTTACATTGGAATAAAATATTTTTAGACCTGATGAAGAATTATCCTCTCAGTGACTCATGGGCCCTGAAATTAGGCAAGCGGCTTCACTTCTCTGGGCCTGTTCGTGTCTGTAAAATAGGGCATGTCTGGAATCCAGTTCTGACATGCTGTGAATCAGTGTTATGTGGAAGGGACGTAAGTAACCAAAATAAATTGTCTTGGAGTTTAGGAAAGGAGATATATGTAGATAAAGTGTAGACTTTATTCTGACTTTGTGGATAAGATCCTGAAATAAAG